TTACAAACTCATAAGTTTATTACCATTTTTATATAAATGAAATTTATACACTTTTTAGAAAATTATTACTAAATTTAAACATTTATTTTTAATAATTTAAGGTTTCTTTTGCGCAAGTAATTGAGTGTTCATGTGACGTATCTAAGGTTGCTGGCCACAAGTAATAATTACGGACATTACGAATTACAACCTGGGTTGCAACCCTAATTACAACTAATACTCAAAGTTGTAAATATACCATAATGGTTATAATTGTTGTAATGCCGTAATAAAAGATCAAAACTTGGTTTTCTTTTAACACGGAGAGGCGCGTTGTAATATACTGTAGATTTGGATATGCTATGGTTTACTGTCAATGCACATGGTTATTTGGCGTACTTGTTTGAAATTAGTAATTCATTCTTTAATTTCGGAATAATCTATATGATTACAGAATTTTAAATCAATTAATATCTGGTTTGGTATTATTGCATCGCGCAATTACTTGTTAATCAAATCATTATACCTATTATGACCTTTACATCCATTGGAACAATTACAACCATTGTAAACATTACACCTATTATGGCAAAAAATTACAACTTCAAGAATAAATGTTGCAACCTTCCAACTCTAGTAAACCTATATTAAGAAAGACTATCTAGGTTAGACTGATTACTTACCTACATAATGCACTAAACTTTATATTGATCATTTTAAAAAGTTAAACATCCTACACAGTGATATATCAACTGTCACCTGACACGATGTTAAGGCTTTTGATTTAATTATGGTTTTTAAAAAAAAAATTTATACAAGAGAACAATAAAAATCATACTATGGAGCAGTATGGCTGACGGAAAAAATTGGCTTAAAGGGTATAACAGCAGAGAGAATGCTTAATTCAGTAATTTCATATGAGAATTCAAAGTTTAAGCCAAGCAATTGATAAAATTGGACCTTTTTTTATATAATGCGTATTGTAAAAAAAAAAAAAAATACTTGTATTATATTTATAAAAAGTCCAGTACTGCAAATCTGTCGAGATGGTCTTTAATAGAAAGATTGAACTTTTAAAGCTATTTCTAATTTAATAGAGATGATTACTGTTTAACGAATATAGATTAGTTAAAATTATGCACCAAGAACAAATAAAGAAACCAAACCATCATAATCATATATGTTTAATCTATCAGTTTATTACGGCAGGCAACCTTAGATGTATCCTTTTTTTGTAGAAGTGAAACGTTAATATTACCATTACGACTATATGGCAATATGTACTTTATTTTAGCAAAAAAGCATTCGATTACTTTTTTTTTTTTTTTTTATATATACAATAATTTTGTCAGGGCGGTACAAAATGAAAAAAAACTTTATATACTAAAATTTTCTAGCATTAGAATTAGTGGAAGATATCGTCAATTGACCAATCTTCGTTAGTACCAGTAGGTGTTTGAGAATAAACAATTGAACTTCTTTCAATTGTTTCTTCACGATTTTGTGCAAACATTTGAAGATCAAAAAGATTTTCAATTGTTAGCTCATATCCCATATCTATATCTGCTGCTTCAGTACTAACCTGCAAAAGCTCTTCATTAAATTCTTCCTCAAGGTAAAAGTCATCATTGGTGTCTTCAATATCGATCGTTAAAGAATCATTAAGCAAATTTTGACTATTTACTTTATGTTTTTTTTTTAACATTTCTAGTTGACCTTGTTGAAGGTTATGACGAAGCATCCCAAGCATTCCTGTCAAGGCAGGAGACATCCTGTTACGTAGTTTAGTTTTTACTAATCCCAAGCTAGAAAATAAACGTTCAACAGCCGCAGCATATGGAACAATCACAAATATTTTCATAGCAAAACGTCGGAGAAGGGGGAGCCTCCCGTGAATTTAGTTCAAAAAGTTCTGGGATTATTGTTTTTAGTATATTTTATATTATCAAAAGAGGCATCGCTATTCTTATAACTAACAAGTTCCTTAAATAGGAGTGTTGTTTCTCTTTTATTGAAACCCCAAGCCTTTGCCAGCTCCAAAGATGCTCTAATGATTGAATCTTCTGACATTTGACCTGAAATTGCAATTTTTTTATAATGTGGTGATAAAAAAAATGCAACAAAAAAAATACTATCAGAGAATTCACGTGTTCGCCTGTCAATAGCTGCCAAGGCATAATTTTTAAATCCGTCGATTTGAATGTTGGTTATAGAAACGGTGTAATGAATATTTAGTAATTCTTTAAAGATGTCAGCTAATGTGGCATCTCTTGATTCAAGGTGGCCAATAGCATCTACGATGGGAACAAGCACTTTTATTAGTATATCATTATTTGCGAAATGGTGACAGTTGGTGATTATTTCTTGAATTTCTATTCTAATTGACAGATAGTTGCCGGTTCTACTAAGGTTAATATAGTGGTAAAATCCTTTTTTAAAGGATTTTTAACCCCCAAACAAACTTTTGCGAGAGAATACCATCTAGTCTCGCAAAATGTTGTGAGTGAATGGCTTAGTCCTTCTTTTTTTTGCTATTCTTGTAGAGTTCGATGCCAAATATAAGAAGACGTGAAAAAATTAACAAGCTTTTGGTTATTTTTAATGACTGGAAGTAAAGATGGAAAGGCAAAGATGTCTTTGGCAAGTAAATTTAGTAATAATTTTCTAAAAAGTGTATAAATTTCATTTATATAAAAATGGTAATAAACTTATGAGTTTGTAA